CATAGATGAGCCTTCAGTGCAAAGTCAGTTTGTTGAAAGATTTCAATTTGTATTCCATCAATTCCCCGAGCCTTGTTCTTTCTTTGCCAATGCCTTTCAGTGTACTTTGGACTTCCTCCTTCATATGGCTCTTGGTCATATGCTACCTCTTGAAATGGGTGAATATCGACCTTTTTTTTGGCACAGTGACTCTGTGTATTTATTCCATCTTCTTTTGATATCTTCTGCATCAGAGGATCCTTTACTATTGCAAACCCAGAACTGAATTTTTTCTTCAGTGCCCTCAGTTTGAGAACTGCTGAGTATTCTTCTCTTTCGGTTTTCTAACTCCAAATCTTTGCACATTTCATTATAAAATTTGGCTTTGTCTTCTATATCCACCCTTTGAAATTTTCTATTCTCCAAAATTTATAGAGCACTTCAACACGCTAACAAGAAATCAACTAATCCAACTGAGAAATTGTCAGAGGACATGAACAGACACTTCACCAAAGAAGACATTTAAGCATTCAGCAAACATGAATAAGTGTTCATGATCATTAACCACTGCTGTTGTTAAATGCATTTGAGTGGGTTCTAACTAACAGTGACCCTGTATAGGGTTTCCAAGGAATGATTGGTAGGTTTGAACAGCTCACATTGTGGTTAGCAGTCCAGTTCTTATCCTACAGTGCCACACCAGGACTCCTTAGCCATTAGAGAGATACAAATCAAAACAACAATGAAATATTATCATACTCCTGCATTAATAGCAAAGTTTAAAAATCAAACAAACAGAAAACAACAAATGCTGGTGAGGGTATGAACAGAGTGGGACCATCCTACACTGCTGGCGGAACTTTAAGATAGTACAATCACTGTGGAAAATAGTATGGCATTTTCTCAAAAAGTTGGAAATGGTAATTCTGTCTGACCCAGTATGATAGTTAAGGTGTACTGTCAACTTGAAAGGATTCCCAGTGGTTTGGAAATTGAGATGTGGTTATCCCCATGGTGAAACCTAATCCAAGCATAGTTAACTATGTCCCTAAAGAAGGACATCGTACTTGAAGTAGAAAAAGATGTAGGCCTTCAACAAGATGGACGGATACAGTGGCTGCAACAATGTGAGAAAGGCGCAGCCAGTGCTTGGTTCTATGGTACACAAGATTACTACGATTCAGAACTGACTGCATGCCATCTAACAACATCAACAATTTAGATCAGGTTGCTTCCATGCCTAAATGTATTCATTTGTACCTGAGGGCCTCAGCTGTTCTCTTGGCCTGAAATCCTTCCCTGCAGTTCACTGCAAACTGGTAAATTTTCAGAAGCCTACTTTAAAGCTGCCTCCTCACACATAACTGCTTTATTTTATTCTCAGCAATTATCATTATCTTGCTCATTCCATTAACTTTTGATTTATATTTTGCCGTTTCCACCTAGATTCTATGCTGCTGCTGTTAGTGCCATGGAGTCGGTTCAGTGTGACTCAGAAGAATCTTGTGTAAGGTTTCCGCGGAGTTGCTCAACTCCTCTGTGCTCATCCTACAATGTCAAACCTAGATATACAAGCCCATGAAAGTGTGGGTCCACGTGCTGCCCTCCAGTCAAAGCACTTTGAAATTAAAATGAATGAGCCTCCCAGCTTGTGTCTGTTATCTGTTTCAACTCTGGAAGTACACAAGCACTCGCGAGACTAGGGCGAGCTCCAGCCAAAGCGCCGCGGTTGCACTGTTATTGCAGAGATATTCACCAAGGGGCGCGCCCGCGGCCACGCCTACTCCAGTCCCGTCATTCACCCAATCCCGCTCGGCTGCAGCCAGGGGACGCACCTAGCAGGGCGGATCTTCTCCGCCTTCTCTTCCTTTCTCCCACCGCGCCACTCACCTGATTTCCCCCCTGCTTCCACGAGGGGGCGAGCTTCGGACAGCCGCGCTGCGGTCGTCCTCCCTAACGCTGCCAGCACTGTCTCCGGGGACAAGTCGATCAGCTTCTCCCACACAGACTCCGTGTAGAAGTCTACCGTATGAGCATTCGAAATGGGCAGAGAATATTTTAAGAATTGCAGCATCCCCTGTAACTTGGCATGCAGCGTGGGCAGGTCCGGGGTTTCAGGGAGCGGACAAGAGTCAGCCATGACGCTCGCCCTCCAGGGCTGTAGGTGGCGCAAACGTGGCTGGGAGGCTAGGGCTCCTCAAATATGTGGCGCAAGCCAGATAAATCGAATTCCGAGCGGGATTGGTGGCGGATTGACTGCTTCGGCTTAATGACGTATTTTGGGTGCGTTTTTCTGGTGACGGGTGGTCAGCCATGGCGCCAGGGAGGGTAGCTGGTATCCAGCCTGCAGGGAGTTTCAGGAAGCGTGGCGAAGGGGTTTCTCCGATCGAATTCAAGAATAAGAATCTGAAACAGAGAAGGTGGCGGAGTAATCATCCGAACATTTTTGTGGGTAGCGTTCATGAAGGTACGTAAGAAGACAACCTTTTAAAAGTACTTGGGCCTGCATGGAAGTAAGATTTAGGAATAAAACCCAATGCTACTTGGGACAGAGAAAAGGGGTTTATAAACCCGGTGAAATTGTAACCTTCGCTGAGCTTTGGATGGGAAGACAGTGTTGTTAACCTTAAACCTCTACTCGGACTGGAATCTATTTTTGATTCGCCTCTACGTTTTCCTAATGAAACCGTAATCATAGAGCGCCTCCAAGTCCATTTATTATTATATATATATATACCCTCGGAAACCCTGTACAGGGTCGCTATGGGTCGGAACCGACTCGACGGCACTCAACAACAACA